TTTTTTTTTTTTTTCAAATTAAGAAGGTTATTATGCGTTAATGAGAACATTTTATTCAATTCTAAGACAAATGTGAGGCAAATGCCCAAGTCATGTCAGCGGATCCAATTTTAGTGGGAGAGGCGGTAAACAATATAAATTTCAAAAACATCACAAGTTCAATATAATAGAAAAAATATGTACTTTTAAACTTCGCTAGCAATTAGAGTTAATTAATTTTCTCAAAATGTAGAACATATTAATAATTGACTCGAACATGTGCAATATAAAAATACAGAACAATAAAAGAATAATCTCATGTTCGAATTTTCTATAAGCATATATCATATATTTCTACCACATTAATTTGCATATCTTAAGTGCACCGTATTTATAGAAAACTTACAAGATCTAATTATTGTTTATAATAATAATACATGGACTAGTACAAACGAGTTCGGACAGTTTTGCATATTCTTCTACTAATACTCTTCTTTGAATTGGTAAAATTATTGATTATCAAAGTTATAACTTATTTATTTAAACTGAGAATTAATATAAAAATATAATTCTACATATACTTAATAGAAAAGAAAAATATTATGGAGACAATGGCCTCCCCCAAGTTACATGTAGATCCGTCCCTGTCAGCAAAAATGTTGTCACCCAAATAGTGGGACTAATAGTTAATTTCTTTTTTTTCTTTCATTATTTCCTCAAATAAGATGAAAAGAACAAAAAAAAAAATAAAAGTATAAAAAGGTAAGTAATTTTTTTAATTGCCTCACATTGAACATAGAGTTAATTAATTACAACAAACTGAGGAAATTAAATAGTATAGGGGCCTGGGCTCTATTTGGTTAGCCACTAAAAATTCTCTCAAACTCTATTTGATTAAAGTATATTGTTCATTAACCCATTAATAAATTAGGCGTTATCAATTGGAGGCTTCTTGTTTACACATAATTAATCACATACTAATTTTATAGCATTTGCCCATGACATTAATCTTGGAGTGCTCTACGCATGCATGTCGTTTGCTATTGTGGTCCAAGTGGATTTGTTGTACACAATATTCCATTTAATTTTGGTAGTTTTTATTTTGTATGAATAAATTATGATAGGGATACGCATTTTCTATATAATAAGGAGAGAAGTATGATGGAAAAGGTAAAAAGACGATGTCTTTACAAAAAATGAGGTTAAATAATTAATAAGATTGGTAGTTAGATGTGTATGAATGAATATGAGATAAAAATGAATGATTAGAGCATCTACGATATTTTGGTATTTTGGGTTAATTCATAAAAATATACATGTCACATAAGAAATAGACCAAGTCAAGAAAAATATGTAATCCAATGCAAGTGGACCGGGTCTTGCTTATGTGGCAGAAAAAAAAACAAAAAGAGGCACAGTTTAGGCTTAAGTCTATTTTAGACCCAAGTAGAGATTTAGTTTCTTTGCATTGGAGTTAAATTTGTCACTTTTATATATTTTTGTCCTTGTCATGCAAGACTTGGGTCTATTTACATGCCACGTAAGCACAATTAAACCCAAAGCATTAGAGATGCTCTTAACGTTGACAAAGTATAAAAAAAATAAAATGTTAATTGATAAGATTGGTAGTTAGATGTTTGTGTATGGATGAATAGTATTTTTTGTTAAAAAATATATAGTATTTTTTATTTTCTAATTATGTAAGTGGAATTTGTAGTGAAGAGAGAGAGAGAATATTATTTTTTGATTTATATTCAGTTTCAATGAGACAAATTTTAGTTAAACAATCCCAAACGAAAAATGTTATGTATTCAATCGCACCATTTCAGACTCAAGATCAGAACGGATGAAATTATAGTGGATTAGTATTAATTAACAAATTAATAACTAATCCATCTAACATTAGACTATATCAAAATTGAAAATACAATTTAC